CACACACACACACACACACACACACACACACACACACACACACACACACACTGTTATTCGACCAGACGTGTTCTCATCGCGTGTGTGAGTGAATGAGCAGAGCTGTCTGAGTAGCCACGGGATACCACCACTGGTAACTGACACCCCACAGGTCTGTCACTGACAAATCAATGGCCGTTCTGCACATACAGACACCCGTACACCCCAACTCTCCTTCCTAAACTTCCAGTTTTGGTAAGGTTAGGTATATACTTTACTCACTTTACTTTATCAGTTCTCTTGTACCTCTAGGGCGTCGAGGGGAGAAAGAGCTTCCTGGCTCAAGCAAGTTTGATGATCTGGCTGGATGGGATATTGATTGTTCTTAAAATTATCCTTCACACCCTGGATCCAGGTCTTTCTTGGTCTTCCTCTTGCTTTGTACCCTGATACTTTCCTGTAGGTTAGGTACGTACAGAAATAAATGCACTATACACCATCCCTGCCTCACTTACATATTACAGTGTTGATTAGGTATGGAGCATAGAGACACCCATATAACTTACACTTACTGTTGTTTATGTATGGTACAAAGAGACACCCATACTCGCCCCCCCCCCCTCTTTTCTCTCACCTGAACGTTCAGTTGGTTAGGCTATGTACGTACAGAGATTCATACACCCCTACCCCCCCCCCTTCCCTTCCTCACCTACACTTACAGCTAGTTAGGTTTTGTATACAGAGAACCATACAACCCACACTCCCCCCCCCCTTTTCACCTTAACTTTCAAATGATCAGGTTAGCCACATACACCACCACCCCCACCCCCAACCTCCCCTTTCTACACTTTCAGTTCGTTTGCTTTGGTACATGCAGAGATAAATACACTATACACCCCTCCCTGCCTCACCTACACTTACAGTTGGTAAGGTTTGGTAAAGGATAATACAACTTGGAGTAGCTTTTTTTTTCAAAGTGTGTTAGTGTTTTAGAGCCCCATGTGCACAGTTTAGGTAATTTGGGAGGCGGGGTTCGACCCTGCCTGTCAGGACTAACTCGGGCTGAGAGAGAGAGAGAGAGAGAGAGAGAGAGAGAGAGAGAGAGAGAGAGAGAGAGAGAGAGAGAGAGAGAGAGATGTAAAGTCTCAGCAGAAAGACCGTGCAATACTCGATAAACATTCTCCCCACTTGAGAATCGAACTCAGGTCTCCTGCGGCAAAGCGCTTAACCGATACACCACGGACGGGTTACAAGAAGCTGCAACCGCCATAATAATATGGTTGAATACCATTCATAATAAATACACCTTTTAGTTTAGTTTTAGTAGAGGTTTTACGGCGCTCGCAACTGCATAAAGTCATATGAGCGCCAGAAGATTAGAGGTGTTACAAGAGAGTAACGAACTTTAAAAAAGGACGATAGATGTTTGATAGGAAAGAAGAAGCAAACCACACCAGAGCACCCGCCAACCATCCACTATAATCTTTTCTTTGATTAATCTAGAATCCAGAGCATAATATTATTCATTGCATTTTAATTGTCCTAACTGTGTCGTTATCTAGTTGGTTGGTGGATGCCATTGATAAAGTCATTCTTTCATTTCATTTGTGTTTCTGCACTTAATTATTGCTATCGTATCAACGTGCTTCTTTTTACCCAAACTGAACACTAGGACCAGTGCCCCCACCACCACATATTTTTTGGGTCCAACAAATAACCTCCAAAAACAAGAAAAAAAAAAAACAAACCCCAACCATGTCAAGGCGCTGTTATAGTCTTTGGATTACGTTTAATTGTATTCCAAAAGTTTCTTTTGCGTTGATACGATTTCAACGCGTGCGATATTCAAACGGATGGTTTCAAAGACGGTAAAATGACTTCCCAGATGTGCACCATTGAATGACATTCATTGTCCGGAAGTGTTGCAGGGGTTGGGTTGCTGGCAGTTACAGTGAATTTCGTAACTATTGCGGTCTTTTCTAAACCCTTCCACTGCCTGCCACACCACTGTCCCCCTAGGCCTGTCAATTATGACGTAAAGACAGCGCGAACTCCTTCCTGCTCAAGGTTGATTACCTTACAGCAGTCAATGTAATTACCTGTATTGGCATAAAATGAGCGTGTATGTGCGCGCGGGAGAGGGAGAAACAGAGAGAGACAGCAAGAAATTGAGAGAGAGAGAGAGAGACTGAGAGA